TCAGTCCCATATAATTTGTTTTCATAACTTTTGATTTTGAAATTTTTGCGAAAGTCATAAACAATTTATGAGATTGAAAATGAAGAGCGTGGGGCGCATCAAATAGACTGAATTGATATGGAAAGTAATATATGTATGTATGTGAGTATATGAATAACGATCGCTTAAAATAGATCCCAAATTTGTACTTGAGCTGTAGAAATTTTAGGTCAATGTTATATAGTTTGGCTATTGTCAATTAAATCTAATGCTTTGTTTATCGTTTTCAGTCTTTTAAATTATTTACAATGACTTTTGCTAAAATTTCAAAATCAAAAGTTATCAAAACCAATTCTATGGGACTGAGAAATATTATTTTTTACCTTTTAGCCCATTTATGAATGCGTGGTATATTGAAAAGTTTATTTTTATTCTATTTTTATAATGTATTAATCATTTGTCGGAACCATTGAAATCGGACCACTATAACTTATAGCTCCCATACAACCGATTGTTCATTTTAGTTGTCGGTCCTGGTTGACCATTCTGTGGAAATGCTCATTAGTTGTGTCTAACTTTAATTGATTTTAAGTAATAAAAAAGTGTAGGTTATTTCTGAGTTCGCAGTCTCTTGGACCGGTGCCCTCTCGCATCGGGAGCCCGTGGCATTTGCCAGCCCTGCCGCCCTATAGTTACGCCTCTGTTCGAGTAAAGCTTTTTCGCGGATATCATCATATTCGTACCGCGATTGATTCAGTAAAAGGCTCGGATATATATTATTTTTTATGACTACAATGGTGCCATCATCCTGATTTACTCCGCGTTTATCTACTCCTCCGCCTACTAGAGTTGTTATCTAACTTGGATCCATCTGTGTGGAACCGAATTGAGTTTTCTGATTTCGCCGCCTCCTCGGTCTCTTGTTTTCTACTAGTTGTGTGCTAAATTTTTTAAAACTGGTCATTAGGCCTTATGCATAAAAAGTGAGCTTAAGCTCAGACTTAATTTTTGCACTGAAAGGGTGAGCTCAAGCTCAAGAATTTGTACTGAAAATCGAGTCGGAGCTTAAGCTCACTTTTTATGCATGAGGCCCATTCTCTTGGGTTAAAAAAAAATAAAATAATTATGCTGGTGCCTAGCATTTCAATTTAAATTTTCTTGCATTAGAATTCTGGAATTCAAGCTTGTGATAAATTTTAGGTACATTTTTACATATATAAACTATGATGAGGAAATTGTATATTCTCATGAGTAGTGAATTAAAGTTTTGGTCTCTGTAACGAACTTTCTAAAATGTGCAATATTTTTTTGTATGTATGTATATACAAAACAACTTTATTTCCAAATACATAGGAATTTTAAAAAGCAGACATCAAAGCTATGAATTGCGTTTAATATATGTACATAATTGTGCAAATATCAGTAGAATCATTTCCAACAAACAAATAATACTTAAATAATTATGGAGTAGTATATCCACGCATATGTATGTATGTATGTATTATGTACGATCATGCTCTAATACGGGTATGTATTTGTTTGCGTATATTTATGTAAAAATATTTTATTGTATGAACGAAATACGAATTATGTATGTAAATGTAGAAAGAATCGGCCTAGTTGAAGAAGCGGTGAAATCATTACAAAATATCATTTGTTCAATGCAAAACCTCAATTTCAAATTACAACTTTTTAAATGAAGGATCAATAAACACTATCACAACGAGAAACCAAAAACAAAAAAAAAACCTTCACATAAGGAATTTGTTGCAGCGGTAGCACATGTCACCACACTAAGAACAGAGGCAGATAAGAAGCATTTGTCAGACGGAAAGGGTCGCGTATCAGTCCTTGGGGTTCAGGCGAGAGTCATCAAATTCATAGAGTTTTAAATCTACCTTTGGCCCATCACCACGATTTGAGTCTTCGCTGCTCGTGAACGTGCTGCTGGTATCGATGCCAGAGTCTTTGGTTGCCGAATCCTGGCTACCCTGTCGTTCAGCGTCCCAATGTGTCCAATCGGCAGCGGACGCATCCGAAATGCCTATCGTATTGGCAGTGTTTGCGTTTGCGCCTAATTTGGTACTGGTCAGTATAGTGGCAGCTCCCACTTCCATAGCCGTTGAAGGCAGAATTTGTGTAACTGGTGGCAGTGAGCCGCTTACGACACTTGCTGTTGTTACCAACGGATCATCGTGCCCATCAAATCGTACTGTTTTCTTTATTCTGCGCTCTGTGTAGCGTCTCGAGTCTTGCGCTGCATTACCCGCTGTGAGATTTTCATCCCAATAGAGATCCGTGACTAAACGGCGATCTCGTCCGAGGCTACCAGTCTCAGGGGTATTTGTTCGCCTAACACTACTATCTTCACTGCGCGTACCAGTCCCACTGCTATAGCGTTCATAAGCATTTGCCGGCAATGGTTTATCGTCAATCACAATTTGTGGATTCATATGGTGCTGTTGTGCTTTTTGGTGGTGGTAGCTACCAGCACTGCTGTTGCTGCTACCACCGCCCCCAGAGGTTGCCGTAGCCGTGACTAATGAAGGCGCCCGACGCGCCGTATACAATCCACTTCCAGTGACCGTTGATTGTCGATCGTGATTTGTCCTGTTGTAGGTGTTGTGTTGCTGTACATCCAATCGAGCTGTTCGCGTGAGCGGATATCGTTCTAGGCGTTCGCGATGCAGGTCGTAGCGATCACGATCCGCAGAGGAGTAGAGGCGGTTCGTATTGGTCAGGCGATAGTCGTTGGCGCCATATGAATTCGTCACACTTAAGAGATCACGCTCGTTGAGGCTGCGTTGCTGTTTCCAGGGTTCACGCAAGCCGCCTGTGGGATGAAAGTTTAAGTGATTTATGCAAAATATTTATTGTTGCTGTAGTTGCTATAGGGAAGGTTGTTGTACGATACACAGGAAAAACTTTCATGGGAAACTGAGGAGTAGTGGAGAAGAACCTGTTGTGCAAACAAATTCTCATCGGTTTGTTATCACCTTCGCAAAAATAAAGCTGTTTTGGTTTTAATCAGTAGGGGAAAGCAAAACCAACAGAAACTTAAATCAAGAAATTCCTTAGTTAAAATAACCGTTTACTTTTACTTTGAAGTTTTCCGGATCAATTTCGATGTTTTAGACTCTTAGAAATCAGTGTGACCTCACCTTTTGCCACATATGTAAGATACGCGCTTAAATTTCATACTTAGAAATTTTTGGTAGTCAGCTTAGGAACTTATATAAAATCAATATGTCCTGAAACACAGAACTCCGGTGATTTTTGATGATTGTTTTGTAATACGCTTGGTAACCGTTTTGACAAAAAAAATCGAACACAGCATAGGCCTTTCAAGTGTTTGACAGTGCGGACACGAAAGAGCTTTCGTTCTGTGCGCGTGCACATAAAACGTATAGCAAGCTTTAAAACTCTACTCTCATGGAACATAGATTGGTTGTATCTAATCTAAGATAATACATTATCACGCATGCTTAAAAAAATATAAACCGAAAGAAGCTAAATAATAAACGTAGGTTTTCCGATGACACTTACTAAGTTTGTGATTATAACTACCAAAGCTTTAATCGAAAGCAAAGTGTATGCTTGTCGAAGAGAGATAAACCTGCAAAAATACCACAGTAAGAGTGTCCAGATTGGGCGATCTAGTGCCAATTTGGCGATTTATTTGTGATATTTGCGCGTAAAAATTTAGGAAATCGCCTTAGGCGATTTTACGCGATTCTTTCCCTTCAAATACAATTTTTGCGCGCTACCATGTAAATGCGTCGAAAGACATGAAAAGTACTAGGTTGTGGAGTTAGAGCTTTGGTTTTGATGTGGCAACACTTTTTATTGTTTGCCGATTTTACTGTAACATATCGAACATTTACTAATATGTGAAACTTGCAATTTCATTCGTGGAAGTAGATTTTTATTTTATTTTTAGCACTAAGCGCATAAAAGCGAATTGTGCGATTAATCAATTAATGTGAGTTATAGTATTCATATACTAATTGTGCAGTCCTACTGCAAATAGTGTTAATACGAACATTTCTTAAAAGTGTGCATATTTTTAAAGAACATTCGTTTGTACATAACTATATTTATTGTATTATTTATTATTACCTTGAAGGTATTACATTCGTTTTTGGAATTAAAAACTATGTTATAACAAGATCTCATTTTTAAAATAAAATATCTGTTAAGTCGATTTCATGAATTTTATTAAAAAAAAAAAATTGGGCGATTTTTGGCGATTATTTTTTCAGAAATGCGTTTTTTTTGTAAAAACAGTCTGGACACCCTGACCACAGCCAAAAAAATTTAATCTGCCACAGAATAACCATGTCCATACTTTTGAAAGAGAACATTGTGCTGGTCATTTTTATTGAATAATTTCATAGCCCAATATGCCTGAGGTTTGTTTTGTTTGTATTCAAAGGTCAGCGCAAGCCCAAAATCTCGAGGCCATACAACTTTGATGTCTTTGAGAAAAACATTGCTTACCAAAAACTACGGGTAGTGTGGAAACAATAAAACTTCCGACGATCTCGCATTTAACCAAAGATTTAAAAAGTTACAACCTTCCGGAGCGTTTGTACATGTTTATTTACATAAAGTGCAAAGCTGCAGTCTGCATGGGAGAAATTTGCAAATGTTTTTGGTTATTTTTAATTTTAAACCGACTTCAGAAAAAGGAGAAAGGTTATCAATTAGTCGGAATATTTTTATACCCGAGCGCACTTCTGCACAGGGGTACATTAACCTTGTTCGCATAACGATTGTTTGTAACAGCCAAACCTAATCGAGATAGATATGGACAAATACATACATACATAGATGATCAGAATGAAAAGAGAAGTCGATTACGCCATGTCTGTCTGCCCGTTCGTCCGTCGGGCCGTCTGTCCGTGTACACGACAACTCGAGCAAAAATTGAGATATCTCAATGAAATTTGGTATGTAGGTTGCCCTTTATCCAAGGTAGGTTGGTATTGAAAATGGGAAAAATCGAACTGTAACCACACCCACTTTCCATATAACGATATTTAAAACAAGTAAGAAAGTCTAAGTTCGGGCGGAGCCGAATATTAAATACCCGGCGCAAGTATTAAATATATGTTTTTTCACCTTTCCGAAACCTTCCGCTAGATGGTAAGATACACCCCGGATCAATTTTGAGTAAATTAGCGTCCTTCAATTTCGAAATATTGAAGTTTCAAGCACTTCTGAAATTTTCCGTTATATGAGAAGCGGCCATTATTTTAGTCCGATTTCAATAATTTTCAACGTTTTGCTTATATTTGGCAAGCACAATAACCACACCGAGTTTTGTACAAATTGGTGGAACGGTTACCGATATACTTATATGTGATCATAAGTGGGCGGTACCACGCCCATTTTCCAAAATTTTACCATAAACGTATTTCTTGGTAAAGAATTGTTGCAAGCATCAATTTTGAATAAATTAGCTTCAATATTTACTGATTTATCGAAGATTTTGTATTTCTCTAAATTACCGTTATATGTGATGTGGGCGTGGTTATTGTCCGACTTTTAAAAGTTTCGGCCATTTAGTATGCTGTATCAAGGCCAACAACTGTGATGAGCATTAGAAAAAATTAGTGCAGCTGTTACCAAGATATACACATGTAACTATAAGTGGGCGTGGCTACGCCCATTTTCCCAAAATTTATAATATTCTTATTTTTCGTCTGTAAACTATTACAAATATCAATTTTGAGTGAATTATCTTCAGTAGTTACTAAAATATCGCAGTTTTCGTATTTCTGGAAATTACCGTTATATGGGAAGTGGGCGTGGTTACTGTCCGATTTCGCCCATTTTCAATACCAACCTACCTTGGATTAACAGAAACCTACATACCAAATTTCGTTGAGATATCTCAATTTTTGCTCGAGTTATCGTGTACACGGACGGACGGACAGACGGACAGACGGACAGACGGACGGACAGACAGACATGGCTTAATCGATTTCTCTATTCATTCTGAGCATATATGTATACATTTGTCTATATCTATCTCGATTCGTTTTGGCTGTTACAAACAACCGTTATGTGAACAAAATTAATATACCCTTGTGCACAAGTGCGCTCGGGTATAAAAATATGCAAAAACTGGGATATTTCAGTAAATATTAGATGAAAATTGTTGAAAACTTGTATGTGGAGTAGAATTGTGGTAAAAAATATTATTGTTATGAAATGTTTGGAAAATGGGCGTAACCCCGCCCACTTATGATGAAATGCTGTATCTCAGTAGCCGCTTCACCAAACCTTACCAAACGGTACGAGGCTTGGGTAGGGTCTAGCTAAGAAATCTGTTGAAAATCTTTGAAATCGGGCAATAATCAGTAACTACTGGAGCTCATTCACTTAAAATCGATGATTGAAATAATCACTTAGCAGACAATTAGAATATTACAAATTTTTGGATAATGGGCGTGGCGCCGCCCACTTATAACCATAAATGTGTATCTCGGTAACCGATTTATCAATTTCCACCAAACTGCACTTAATAACCGTCGTATGGAAAAGCCATTTGTTGAAAATTAATCAAATCGGACTAAAATTACACCCGCTTCCCGTATAACGGTAAATTTCAGAAATACGAAAACTCTGATATTTTAATAACTGAGTACGCTAATTTACTTCAAGTTAATGGTTACAGCAATCTCCTAACAAGAAATGAAACTTGTATAGACTTTTAGGAATTGGGCGTAGCACCGCCCACCTTATAACTACAAAGCTGTACCTCGGTAACCACTTAATCGATTTGTACCTAACTAGGTTCAATTATATCATTAAGTCCAACTCTGCATATTACCCAAAACGTTTGAAATCGGGTAAAGACCCCTACTTTTCATGCAAAGGTGGTTCAGAGAAAATTGAAACGAAGATATTTGATACCTGCGCCGTGTGTATAAAGTTCGAACTTATACTTCTTTACTTGTTTTTTTTATGTATGTTACCGCACAACTTTGGACCACGTTAACCGATTTCTATAAGGAAAGGTGTTACCTCACAGGGGGTCCCGTATTAATTTGGTTTAAATTCGATCATCGGATCATGACGAAATTAACGATATTCTTAAATTTTCATATGAGAATTGAAGTCGGTTTTGTTTTTTGCTTAAAAATTACTTGTTATGTTTAAATTAAGAGACTTTATGAATTTTGTCCGATATAACAGTTTAAGGTGCGTACTACTACTCCATAGGACCCAGGTTCGATACCTGGTCCGAGCAACAGCTAAATTAGAAGAAGTGTTTTCTAACAGCGATCGCCCCTTGGCAGACAATGGCAAACCTCCGAGTGTACTTCTGCCTTGAAAAAGCTGAGACATGACAAAATTCTAAATCAGCAAATAATTGAAAGCAATGTAGGAGGAAATAGTCCCTCATTAGATGGGATAGAACGAAACGTAAGCAATTTAGAGGGGGCGATGACTAAAGTCTATGAAAGATCAAAACCATTTATTGACATGAAAAAGAAGATGGCAAGGAGGAGGCGGTCAGAGATTCAGACTTGCAAGATAACACGTGAGCTTTCGCCTGACTATAGTAGGAAAAGAACAGCAAAGCTGCTGTATTTGGGTTTGTAGCAACTATAATCCGCTAGGAATGTATGTCTATAGAATGGGACTTCGATATAACGATATATGCAGCAGGTGCGGGATAGAGTGCAGCAAGCAACAGTATTTAATTTCCTGTGTGAATTCCCAAGGCTTCCTTACTTAAGGCATATCACTTTCGGGCAACACATAATGACGCAGTTAGCCGATTTATCTAGTGCTACAATAAGTGATATGCACAAATTT